AAATCATGACGAATATCTTTATCACTCTTGTGGTGGACTTGATCGACTCACAACCTAGTGTACTCGATCTCCTAGTCCTTCACTTGACACTCTGTCAAAGAATTAGTCTAATCTCCAAATATAAAGTTTCTCATTCATCACACAACCATGTTGTATGATTCCAAGCTTCTGTCCACTTGAAACTTGGGCGATGAGAATCTTTCCTTATTTGGAAAATTCCCGACATTTCCACAAATAACATAATTAAGAATCAAATCTAATTCAACATTGCTAAATTTAGAAATACACAAACATCCATTTTCACACATGCCATTGCAAGGATATATAGATAAGATAAAATTCAAAATTTATTTTATTGCGGAAAAACTTGTCCTTACAATGCAATTCAACTGAAAAACTATGCTATTACATATTTCTTAGCAATCTACCCTAACTCTAAAGTAGCAGCTCAATAATCCGATCTTTGAATCCATGCGATCGAAATCCATTTCTTCGTGATCAGATTCAGCACGCTTCTTCCTTAAGTTTCCTTTCTTTTCTTCGATCCTGCAAAACATCAAAATGTAATCTTATCACATCATGTATTAAGAATCAAAAATAGGAACTTATAGAGTTAGTTAATGGATTTTACCTAAAGTAGAGTCATACGTCTTGACTCTCCCATCTCTTAGGTCTCTCAGGTAGCTAGGGCAGCTTCGTCTCCAATGCCCCTTCTCTTGGCAGTAAAAGCAAATGGACTCCTTTGGTACATAGCAAGGGACAATCTCAGCCTTTTCTGGACTTCCAATGTAGCCAGTGTCCAATGAAGTATGGGAGTTTGATCGACCAATCAAGTTTGTTTGACCAGTACGCCAAATCATCGCTGATTCAGCAGCAATAAGCAAATAGGTCAAATCAATGAGGGTCACGTTGTGAACCATCATATAGTACTCTCTTACGAACTCACTATAAGAATCAGGAAGTGACTGAAGAACCCAGTCAACAGCCAACATCTATGAGATATCGACACCCAACATCCTTAACCTATCAATGCGTGACTTCATCTCTAAGACGTGTGCACACACAGGTTTCCCATCTTCGTGCTTACTTACCAATAGGGATTGAGTGAGCTTGAATTTTTCAAGCCTTTGAACTTGTGGGTCAGGGAGAACAATTGGAGGAGGTAGAGGAAGTGAAGCATGACTCTCATTTCCTTGATCGTATCTTGGAACGCCATCTTCATTTAGAAAGCTTGTTCCAATGGATTTGGGAAGACTATTGTTAGATTCAGACATCTACAAAATGGGAGAAATTCAAGTCAAGTTGATTAGAATCCTTGATGTAACACCCAAACGAAACATCAAGGCTAGGATCCAACACAATACTCTACAACCTAGAAGAGGGATGTCGTAATCTAGTTGCAGAATATTTGAAGGTAGGTAAATGACGATTTACCAATTTCCACCATGAAAAACGAAAAAGAAATTTAAGTTTTAAATGAATTGAAACTCCTAGATCTTTTGAGATTCATTGAACTTTTCAATGGCGTGTTTAATCTCGATTATGCCCTTCAGGTTTGCGACTGGGATGCCGAGGATCACAAAAAAAGTGTGAATAACCGTGCGAATCACGTGGTGCACCCAATGCTACTATCACCTAATCAATGTGCCGGTTAGCCACACACGCTCCATTGATCTACGATAAACACCGAGCCACCCTTCACCACCAATGTCAATCCCAAGTTAGTGTGCCGGTTAACCACACACGCTCCACTAACGTTTGACAAGGGTACGAAGTGTAATTCCATGGATTAGCATACAATTTCACATTTTGCCTAAAGTAACTAGAATTTGGGAATTTGTAAAAGCATGTAGTTACTTTGTACTTCATTATACTTATAATGGAAGGTTTCATCCTATCCTACCCATTCGGCTAACGACCCTCGACTAGTCAAGAGTGCGGTGGGTAAGAGTGGATACCCATTCAATCGTCATTTTATAGGCAATTTCCTTAAACACCCCTTATAGACCAGCTTCGTGAATGAGGCCTACTAACGGTAAGACTGACTGTTTACTTATACATATATAATATTAGACTTTTAATGTCATATATACATAATATAGGGTGTATTTTACACTTTTAAAATACTAGGTGGTCTAATTTAATAAATTATACTTTTAATTTAATTAAATGTAAACCAAAACTTTATGGATTTATTAACTCTCTTTTAATTATACACTTTAATTAATTAACAAAACCATAAGGGTGTAATTTGAACTTTTTCAAAATGCGAGGGTTTTAGAATTTAACATTTCAAAATCAAACTTTTAATCAACTTTTAAATTCCAAAACTTGAGGGCAAGTTTTGAAACTTTTCAAAACATTTGGGATTAGAATTTAAATATTTCAAAATTAACTTTTAATCAAAAATTTAAATTCCAAAACTTGAGGGCAAGTTTTGAAACTTTTCAAAACATTAGGGTTTAACTATTCAAATTTCAAAAAACAAAACTTTTAAGTTCAAATTTAAACTATAAAACCTAAAGGGGAAAATTTAAACTTTTTCACAAGATAATTCAAATCTAAATTACAAATAATCAATCTTTATCTAATAAAACAAAAGATTATCTAAATTTTGACAATTATCTTCTATTTTGGCAAGGATAATCTCCAAATATTGATAAAAATCGGATTTTATTAATAAAAACGTTTTAGGCAATTATCCACAGCCAAAACAGGTCAAAATCCCGAAATCTGCTCCATCTGCGACTCTGACTCGTCGAGTCTAGCTTGGACTCGTCGAGTTCACTATGAACTCGGCGAGTTCAGCCATGGACTCGGGGAGTCCAGCCCCCAGAAACCAAAAATTTTCGATTTTAAGCATGAATAATTAACTATAGCATCAAATACATCAAACAAACAGCCCTAGGCTCTGATACCACTGAAGGGTTTCGAGCACTACATCAATCCTATGGTGTACATGCAAACCCTAATAGCTTTGGATCTAGTTTGTCTAATGAACATGCAATTGATAATCCAAAGCCATAAACCCTAGATCTAATAAACTTTAACTGGAATTAGGGTTTAGATCTTACCTTTGATTGTTATATGGCAATAACAATCAATCCTTGGCTTCAGAAAGCTTAGTGTCTCAAGTGTTGCACCTCTAATGGAGTCACAAACACCACTAAGCAACTTGGATGAAGAGGGAGGAGAGTGGAGGCACCAAAAACGGCTGGAAACCCTAAAGGAACCCTTCGCCACGTTTTTGGGGCATATGGGTCCTTTATATACATGTAGGCTATTAGGGTTTTCAACTAGGAAACCCTAATCTAACTGCTTAGGCCTTAAGCAGTCCAATGGACCATTCCAAAAGGCCCTTGGACGATTTCTTTATGGAACTCCATATAGAATTCGTCCATTGCCATCTAATGGATCCAAAGCCCAACTTTGTAACTATCTTATAATTACAATATCAGTCCCCTTAATTTAATTAATCTCTTTTAGCCACAAAATTAATTCTTAATTAATTCTTGACTAATATTAATTAAACAATATGATTTCTCCTTTAATATATTATTCTCATAATATATTAATAAATCATAATTAAACCTTTCTCTCCTTAATTCATTTTACATATTGCTATGGTGAAGGCAACCCAAAAGGACCATGCTCATAATCGGGTCAAGTACATACCAAAATAGTTATGGACTTAGACACTAATCCAACAGTCTCCCACTTGGATAAGTCTAATAACTATTTTGCATAACTTCAGAACCTGATCAGCAATCGTAGCTTTCAAAAGCCGCTGTCAACTCTGATCTTATCAGATACGCGTGTCCTTTAGATAAGGGATTATATATTCCTCCATTCTCAAGATATCGTATACACACAAGACATGAATTTGATCATTCTCTTTATACTGTTTCCCGACTTCTGATTTAAGACGACTGACAACAGACTACAATTGAACACATCAACTTAGTCCCGGCTTGGCCAAACGCTTAGGGTGTCATCACTAAATCAGTGAGGGGCCCACAGATATCGCTTTTATCCTACTTTGGGTAAAAGGAATGGATAAAATTCGACTCAAATGCTCGCTTGCATTTACTGATCGAATCACACACAACAATAAGTTTTATAACACCAAGTTACTGGTGCGTTTTCTTATTATCAATGCGCAACCGAGCAACAAATAACAACTCACACGTCTCGGTTTCAAGAATATACAATGTTATCGTCTCACAATTACTCATGACAAAACGATAAAGTGATTCAAGTGAGCGTGGGTTTGATCCAATACTCTAATCTTATTAAAGCATTCATGAACTCTGCAGCAAACTTGTGCTATGTCTAAGCACTTAGACAATCTACAGACAGATTCATGACAGTCTTGCTTCATACCTACTTCCAATGTATGACCGACTGTGGATGTTGGAATAACCTAGTTATTCTGGAAGTCAAAACATGCAGAGTGAAACACAATAATAATATTAATCCTATATGGCCCAAAAGCTTTTGAGCGTAAATAAAACATTTTTTATTTAAACACCATATTGATTACTCATTATTCATTGCTTACTGTTTCAGAAAATCAACTTATTACTTGAATTACAACAATAGCTGTCTCATTCTCCGAGCATGCACACTATCTTAAAATTTATCTTAAAATTATCTTAAAATTTATCAATAATTATCTTAAAATTTATCAATAATTATCAATAAAAGTTTGGCTTTAGTTTCTCAATAATTATCTTAAAATTTATCGTAAAACTAACTTATAATTTACAAATAACTACTTTTGTAATCTTAACAAACAGTAATAGTAAATACTCATAAAAATAAAAATAAAAAATTATTGACGCCAAACAAAATCTTAACATAAAAACATAAAAGCCCATCTCATAAACTTAAATAACACGAAGTTAACTTTTTTATTTTTATTTTATTGAAATCGTTATTTGTTTTTCACTCCTTTATTTTTTTGACTCATTTGTTTTGGTACACTTGCTACCAAGTGTGGCTCACCTTCCTCCAATATTTATACACATCAACACCTCAAGAAAACCATCCACCATTCATTCATCCTCTCACACACACACACACATTCTATCTCTCTCTCTCTCTCATACATAAACACCGGGTAAAGGCGATAAGGGTAGAAAGAGAAAGCTTTTAAGCATATCAATGGCAGGAACTGGTGTTTTTGAAGAGATAATAGAAGGCGATGTGTTCAAATATTACACTGATGGAGAATGGAAGAAATCTGCTTCTGGTAAATCTGTTGCCATTATTAACCCGACTACTAGAACCACTCAGTACAAGGTTCAAGGTAAAAAGACAACAGTAATATTCTTATATTCTCTCTCTCTTTTTTTAGTACATATTATATTTTTTGTTTAATAATTTAGTATATGACAAATAAATTGTTTTGTTAAGGAAATAAACAGACAAAAAATACAAGGAAATTGAGCTTGCTTATGAAAATTTACATTTATTGATTATAAGATTACGAAAAAAACTTATTTAGTTTAAGATATTACATTGAAATATTTTACTGTTAGTTCTACTGTAAATACAAACTGAAAAGTGAAAACAGTACATGTGAAGTCCTCGCAAACTCCGTCAACTAATATAACAGTAGTCGTTCATAACTTCATATATATGTGACTTAATATTAATATACACGTATTAAAATACAATTTAAATGATTAAAAGTAAGAAGATAATTTTTTATGAATTCAAAGCAATTGGTTGGCTGAGAGCAACGGGGATATCTTGATTCTCTGATCTAACAATTTTATTCTATTTGTACTTTGTGCATTTGAGATTGTACCTTGGTATCTTTGATACACTAGGGGGCCCATCGTAAGGTACATTTCAAATATTTTCGAAAACATCACGCTTCTAAAGTTTATCATCATAACGAACCAGTAAATTGTAAATTTGGTCCCTATGTTAAACCTTAAATCACAAGTTTGGTCAAATTCTTTGACTTCTTTCAAAAGTTGTCTTTAACTTTGCATTTGTTGCGGATTTAGAGCATGTTGTGTACAAAGATTTTGAAAGATTTTAACTTTTACGAAATAACCCAAAAAAATGTTACGTACATAGTAGTAGCTTTTAACTTTTGTTTTAAACAAAGAAGTCATTAACTCCAAAATTATTCCAAAATTATTTCAAGTAGTTTTTGAGAGCTTTTAGTTTTTAGTTTTTTATTTTTTTTTAATTTTACATTTTTAAAAGTTAACAGCTACTTAGGTCAAGTATTTCTGCACAAACAAAAACTACAACTTTCAGCTACTAGATTTTAGCTATCAAATACTAATTTTCAGTTTCTAATTATCAACTAGTTTTCCAAACACATATTAGTCATTTGACAACTAAAATGTAGCTCTTAATTAATAGGAACAAACTTGTGATTTTAAGTAAAATATAAAGACCAAATCTACAAAACAAATAACAAACTTAAGTACAAAATTTGTAATTTATTCTTTGATTTATGTTACATAAGAGCATAATAAGATTTCAATTCAAGATATCTCGTATTAATTTACTCTAGGGTATAGTAACAACCAATATAAAAACATGAATACCATTTTATTTCATTTTGAAGTCTAAACTGATGAATGATTTTTATTTATCAGCATGTACACAAGAAGAGGTGAATAAAGTAATGGAATCAGCTAAAATTGCACAAAAGCAATGGGCGAAAACACCACTATGGAAACGAGCCGAGCTTCTTCACAAGGCAGCTGCCATTCTCAAAGAGCACAAAGCTCCCATCGCCGAGTGTTTAGTTAAGGAGATTGCAAAACCAGCCAAGGATTCAGTCACTGAGGTACAACTCATTTATGCGTAAATCTTAACTTTACATTAAAAATATTGGGTGTTGTCTTTTTTGACTTTACATACTTAAAAGGGGACAAAAAATTCATTTTAAAATCTATATATGCGTGTTTCGCATTTAATTCAATTAACGCAAAAATAACGAGTAAAATCTATACCATCATTTATTCTTTCTTTGTTTTTCTTAATTGTGCCGTTATATTTACTAAAGATTTATTACAAAATCGGTGTTTCATACAACATTTCATCTATACATTATTTAATAATAAAAATATCTTATGCCATGCATTAATTATTTAGTTGTATTATGACATACAACTTAACAATGCATATCACGTAACATCCAAAATGCTATTTTGTCATTTCATCTACACATCATTTAATGGTAATAAAAAGACATTAGATCCAAAAATCACATTGAATATTGATCGTATAAATATAGTGTTAATTTGTATCATGACAACTTAACAATGGATATCACGAAACAACAAAATGCTATTTTGTATTATTGTAGTTACAAGATGCAGTTTTTTTTCCTAGCTTCCAAGAAACATAAATGGATCAAGAAACCAAGTAATTGAGCATCTTAAAAGTCTTTTCCAAAAGATGTATTTATTTCAAGAGCTTATAATGAGTTTTAATTATTTATCTATGCATTAAAACTCGTACTTTTTTATAAAGGTCGTTCGATCAGGGGATCTCATATCTTATTGCGCTGAAGAAGGGGTCAGGATTCTAGGAGAAGGCAAGTTCCTGGTTTCCGATAGTTTTCCAGGCAATGAGAGAACAAAGTATTGTCTCACTTCAAAGGTACACTAAATTCTGCACACAAAGTTTCCATCTTTTCATCAAAAACCTGCAAAAAGATTCATGATTTTGATCGAAAATTGGATTCTGAGTTTGGGTTTTCTTCGGATTTTATAAACTATATCAGATCCCACTCGGAGTTGTCTTGGCCATACCACCCTTCAACTATCCGGTCAATCTCGCCGTCTCCAAAATCGGCCCTGCACTTATCGCCGGAAACTCCCTCGTCCTCAAGCCCCCAACTCAGGTGGTTTTCCGATCTAACAACACATGACTCCATTAATGTTGAGATATAGTTTTCAAGTTTTCTAAAACCCTTTTACGAACCTGTTTTTCAGGGTGCAGTGGCTTGCCTTCATATGGTCCAATGCTGGAACCTAGCAGGTTTTCCCAAAGGCCTAATCAGCTGTATCACCGGAAAAGGATCGGAGATCGGAGATTTCCTCACCATGCATCCCGGAGTTAACTGTATCAGGTAATCATACACTCGAACACATGGTTTTTCGTATTGGGTTTTTACGTTAGTGCTCAAAAGATGACTTCTTTTAACCATTTTTAATCTCTACTTATTTCCAGCTTCACCGGAGGTGACACCGGAGTAGCAATCTCCAAGAAAGCCGGCATGGTGCCACTTCAGATGGAGCTCGGAGGAAAAGATGCATGCATCGTTCTGGAAGACGCTGATCTTGATTTGGTTGCAGCAAATATCATCAAAGGAGGTTTTTCTTACAGGTATTGATCGATTGTTAACAATTTATGTCACCAAAAATCTGCGATACTTTCGATGAAATGGTATAAACTAATGGAACCCTAATACAGTGGTCAGAGATGCACTGCTGTTAAAGTTGTATTGGTGATGGAATCGGTGGCAGATGAGTTAGTCGAAAAAGTGAACGCCAAGGTGGCGAAGTTGAAGGTGGGCCCACCGGAGGATGATTGTGACATCACTCCGGTGGTCTCTGAGTCGTCTGCAAATTTCATCGAAGGGTTAGCTAAGGATGCAAAGACGAAAGGAGCAACGTTTTGTCAGGAGTATAAGCGTGAGGGCAACCTTATTTGGCCATTGTTGCTAGATAATGTTCGACCCGACATGAGAATTGCATGGGAGGAACCATTTGGGCCCATTGTGCCTGTTATTAGGATCAACTCCATTGAAGAAGGGATCCACCATTGTAATGCTAGCAATTTTGGTCTTCAGGTATATACAAAAACCCAATGCTTCATGGTTTCAAAATTAAAATATGTAAACTTTTTAGGGTTGGAAATGTATGGTTTTTTATAGTTATAAAAAGCTATAAAATTTATGGCATTTTTCTAGGTCTTTGAAACAACATTGATTGTAGACTTGACATAGCTAAAAATGTTACTTAATGATAGGGATGTGTCTTCACTAAAGACATCAACAAAGCAATCTTGATTAGTGATGCGATGGAAACCGGGACAGTCCAAATAAACTCTGCCCCGGCTCGTGGCCCTGATCACTTCCCCTTTCAGGTGAACTGCTACAAATGTTACAAAACTTATACGAGTCTATGATTCTGTAGTTATTGATATTGATACTGTTAAATTGATTTGACAGGGTTTGAAGGATAGTGGGATCGGGTCCCAAGGAATCACGAACAGTATTAATATGATGACGAAAATCAAGAGCACAGTAATCAACTTACCAACCCCAAGTTATACGATGGGGTAGATGATATGCATATAATGTGTTTGATGAAATAAATAAGAAATGAACTATTATTGAGGCTTCTTTGTTCTTAATATAAGTTCAAATAATGTTTAGTGCTACCAAAAATGGTGAACGATATTTCATGCATTAAGGATTGTACTTTCGGGATAGATATTAGCGATTTTTATTGACTTGTGAGTCTTTTTTAATTATGTTCTTGATGGCATAAACCGGTGAAAGAAAAGGGGTTTGGCTATAGCATTTCGATCTACTTTTTATTCTATTACAAGTAATTTAGAATCTTAATTAATAAACACGTTTTATGTGTTAGGAAGAATAAATCAAAGGCACATGGTATCTGATTACCTAGTCTTTAGCTAGTATTAGTTAGTTCCTATTTTTCAGCAAGTATTTTACTTTAAATTGCAAGGCAATATGTACGTGTTTTTGCCCCAGTTTTTTATTGAATAAACACACTAGAAGCATTTGCCTCAAAAACTCTGTTCTTTTCTCTGTTGTTACATTGTTTCTTGTAGAACGGTTTCTGAAAAACTGATCAACTACCAACACTGTGGTATCAGAGCAATCCTGGTGCATGCCCAAGTATCAATCTCGTGAAGAGATGACAGGAAAAAATGGCAATGGTGACAAAGAAGGTCAAATAACTCTCCATTATCCAATGTTATCAAGAACAAACTATGGAGCATGGGCAATCAAGATGCGTGTCTTCATGCAGGCTCATGGTGTGTGAGATGCAGTAGAACCCATAACTTCAAATACAGTTGTTGACACCAAGAAAGATAAAATGGCACTAGCAGTTATTTACCAGGGGATACCAGAAGATCTTTTGATGTCACTAGCTGAAAAGAGAACAGCCAAAGAGACATGGGAGGCTCTGAAGACAAGATTTGTAGGGGCTGACAGAGTAAAAACAGCAAGAATACAAACTATAAAAGCTGAGTTTGAGTCACTCACCATGAAAGAGTCAGAAGGAGTGGATGAATTTGCGGTGAAAGTAGATAACATCATTAGTTCAATGCGCACTCTAGGTGATACAGTATATGAAGCCTATGTGGTGAAGAAGCTGCTTAGGGCAGTATCAACCAAATTCCTGTAATTAGCCTCAACCCTGGAACAATTTGGAAATCTAGATGAAATGACTGTAGAAGAAGTAGTTGGCAGATTAAAAGCACATAAAGAAAGGATTAAAGGGCATACCGAAAGTGATGATCGAAAGCTTATCTTGACACATCAAGAGTGGTCAGAGAGAAACAAGAAGAAAGGATATAGTGACTCCAAATCCAAATCGCATAGAGGAGGTTTTGGAGGCTCACGGGGACGAGGCAGAGGCAGGGGTAGACATGGTGGAGGACGTGGTCGTGGCAAAGTGGGTCAAATCACCAAAAGGAAGGAAGCCATGGGGCCTCTAACAGTCATGACAAAAGCACAGTGCAGTGCTACAACTGCCAGGAACATGGTCATTATGCAGCTGAGTGCAAGAATCCAAGAAAGGAGAGAAGTCACGAGAACAACCTGATTCAAGAAGACTTTGAACCTGCACTGCTGTTAATGTCCCTTGAAAATAAAAAGGAAATTGATGAAGTATTCCTGAATGAAGAAAATGTGCATCCAAAGTTGAAAATAAAAGGTGGAGAGACAAACCAGTCGAGTATATGGTATCTTGATACTGTTGGATAAGGTGTCTAAGTCCATAACTATTTCTGGTATGTACTTGACCCGACCCGGCATGGTCCATTTGGGTTGCATGGCACCATGCAATTGGATAAACTAAAATGAGAGAAATAACACTTATGGTTTATTAATATATTATAAGTTCTAATATATTAATAATATTATTTAATTAGTTTGATCAAGAATTAATTTAGTATTAATTACGTGATCAAAAGATAACTAATTAAATATATGGGTAGATTATGTAAATCTTCCCTATCTTATATAGTGGGCTAAGAGGCTCCATGGATTATGAAGTTGGGTTCCACCCATAGGATGCTCCATGGGAGTTACAAACCAGTCGAGTATATGGTATCTTGATACAGGGGCAAGCAATCACATGACTGGTGATGAAACAAAATTCCACAACCTGAACAGAGAAATACAAGGGTATTTCAAATTTGGAAATGAATCTAGAGTTAGAATTGAAGGAAAGGGGTCAATAGTATTTCAATGTAAAAATGGTGAATTAAGAAGATGTGAAGAGGTATACTATATACCTGATTTATCCAGCAATATTATTAGCCTTGGTCAATTATCAGAAGGAGGAGATGAGATCAGGATAAAGGAGCCATTTCTTTGGATTCATGACCGCACAGGAAGATTGCTAATGAAGGTACAAAAATCCCAAAATCGTCTCTATAAAATCCAACTTGAAGAAGTCAATACAAGATGTCTAATTGCTGAAATTAAAGACCCTACATGGCTATGGCACACAAGGTTAGGACACGTAAATTTTACCTCTTTAAAGTTGATGGTTGATAGAGGTTTGATTGAGGGAATTCCCAAGATGGTGATTCCATCTAAACCTTATGAAGGATGTCTCATGGGGAAGCAAATTAGGCATCCATTCCCTTCGTGTACAAGCTTCATGGTGATCTGTGTGGTCCAGTCTCACCACCAACACCAGTTGGGAACATGTACTTCTTGCTACTGGTGGATGATTACAGCAGGGTAATGTAGGTGTACCTGCTAAAAACAAAAGATGAGGCATTTCAGGCTTTCAAGAATTTTAGAACAAAAGTTGAAGTGGAAACTGGAGAAAAATTAAAGATGTTTAGAACAGATCGGGGAGGAGAGTTTCTCTCAAACCAATTCACCATGTATTGTGATGAAACTGGGCTCAATCGTCATTACACCTCACCCTACTCCCCATAACAGAACGGGGTTGTAAAGAGGAGGAATCGAACAGTTTTGGATATGGTTAGAAGCTGCTTAAAGACAATGAAAGTACCTGATGTATTGTGGGGAGAAGCAGTAAACCATACCGTTTACATCTTGAATCGATTGAGCTCTAAGGCCCTCAAGGAGATCACACCGTACGAGATGTGGACTGGAAGAAAGCTGAATATCGGTCACCTAAGGGTTTTTGGGTGTATCGCACACATGAAGATAGCCAAGAATCACCTGGAGAAATTGGATGATAGAAGTAAGAAGGTAGTGTATCTGGGAACTGAAAAGGGGTCGAAATCTTACAGACTATTGGATCCTGATACAGTATCTATATATGTGAGTAGAGATGTGGTGTTTGAAGAAGATCAGACCTGGAATAGGGGGGAGAAATCCAAGATCAAAGCAATCCCAGGTATGACCTTCACAGTGGAAGGATTTGATTTCAACGATTTGGGTGAGATTGAAGTCCAAGAAGATGAAGCTCAAGATGATGACGACGATCTGAATCCATGCACTCCTCAATATGGTGTCGGGTCAAGCGGGTCAACTAATAATGACGATTGGAGAGAACAACCCAATAACTCACCACAAGTGAGCCCACTTAGTCCACTACCTGGAAGCCCACAAAGCGCCCAGTCTGATTCACACATAACCCCAGCTTCTACGACTCAAGTTGCGTCTCCAAACACCGCCTCGAGCTCTATAGGCGGTGGCGCCCCGAAACGGTATCAATTACTCACAGACCTATACGAGACCACAAAGGAGATACAATTACCCCCCGAAGAATTGCTGATGATCTGCAACAAGGAAGAACCAAACATGTACCAAGAAGCGAAAGCAAGAAACGAATGGGTCAAGGCTATGAAGGAAGAACTAGCATCAATTGAGAAGAATAAGACCTAGACCCTGGTTGATCTTCCAAAAGGGCGAAAAGCAATTAGGTTAAAATGGGTTTACAAGGTGAAGAGAGATCGAGATGGGAGAATTTCAAAGTATAAAGCGAGAATTGTAGCAAAAGGATACATACAGAAGCAGGGCATCGATTATGAGGAGGTTTTCACTCCAGTGGCTAGAATTGAAACAGTACGTGTAATTTTGTCTCTCGCTGGATCAAGTGGATGGTGGGTACATCACCTGGATGTGAAATCGGCCTTCTTGAATGGAAGGTTGAATGAAGAAGTGTACATGATGCAGCCTGAAGGCTTCGAGAAAAAGGGAGAAGAAGGCAAAGTGTACAAGCTCTCAAAGGCCATGTATGGATTAAAGCGAGCTCCCAGAGCTTGGAATGTCTGCCTAGATAAGTACCTAAAAAGCTTAGGGTTCACAAGGTGCTATCAAGAGTACTCTGTTTACACAAGAAAGAAGGAGAGCAACATCTTGATAGTAGGTGTGTACGTGGATGATTTACTGGTCACATGTAGCTATCCCAAAGATGTGAAAGAATTCAAACTCGAAATGAAGGCCAAATTTGAGATGAGTGACCTTGGGCTAGTCAATTATTACTTGGGAATTGAAGTTAATCAATATGAGACTGGGATAACTTTGAAGCAGGAGGCGTATGCAAAGAACATCTTGAACAAAACACACATGATAGGGTGTAATGCTACAAGAACCCCCATGGAACACAAACTAAAGTTGTTCAAAGATGAAGAGGGTGAGCTGGTGGATCCTACTGAGTATAAAAGTATAGTTGGTGCACTCAAGTATTTAACACACACACGCCTTGATATCTCCTTTGCAGTTGGAGTAGTTAGCCGGTTTATGGAGAAACCAACCTTAAAACATCTCCAAGCAGTGAAAGCAATACTTAGATACATCAAAGGTACCCTGAACTATGGGTTTACATACACTAGAGGAGAGAAGAGAGTCACCCTCACTGGGTACTCTGATAGTGATTTTGGAAAAGACATGGAAGATGGGAAGAGTACAGGAGGGATAACATTCTACATGAATGGGAACTTAGTGACATGGGCATCACAAAAGCAACGTAGTGTGGCCCTGTCATCCTGTGAAGCAGAATTTATGGCTGCAACTCAAGCAGCTTGCCAAGGCATATGGCTTCGCCGGCTTCTCACTGAAATCACTGGGCAAAGGGTACCTCCAATTGACCTGTTAGTTGATAATAGGTCAGCTCTTGACTTAATGAAAAATCCAGTTTTCCATGGGCGTAGCAAACACATCAATATAAGGTATCACTTTATAAGAGAATGTGTAGAGGATGGGGAAATAGTGGTCAGTCATGTGTGTGGGACAAAGCAGAAAGCAGATATTCTTACAAAGTCAATGGCAAGGGTGAAGTATGAAGAAATGAGAGACTTGATTGGGGTAAAGTCAATTACCAGATTCTGAATTAAGAGGAGAATGTTACAAGTAATTTAGAATCTTAATTAATAAACACGTTTTATGTGTTAGGAAGAATAAATCAAAGGCACATGGTATCTGATTACCTGGTCTTTAGCTAGTATTAGTTAGTTCCTATTTTTCAGCAAGTATTTTACTTTAAATTACAAGGCAATATGTACGTGTTTTTGCCCTAGTTTTTTATTGAATAAACACACTAGAAGCATTTGCCTCAAAAACTCTGTTCTTTTCTCTTTTGTTACATTGTTTCTTGTAGAACGGTTTGTGAAAAACTGATCAAATACCAACATATTCAATGTCTTGAAATTAAGATAAATACGTATTGAGGGAATATTTGAGAAATTCGGGCATTCATTTCTAACTAGATTTCATATTTTAGGTTTTCAACAAGTTAACAAAATTTATTTAGTTAATTCGTTGTTGAAGGTCTCAATGGTGCTTTGATCTTAAACTATAAGTACGAAAACCCAAAATATCAAAAATAGAAATCATAAGTATCTTAGACGAGAGGGCGGGGTAAAAATATGGGCCGATTGTATATTTAATAATAATTAATAGTCTTTCTAGTTTTGAAAAGATCAAATCTACGACTTTACTTGACAAAAAGAGCAAATCCATAATTTTTTGGTAAGTTTAGACCTTAGCTAAAGAAAATAACAAACCAAAAGATTATTTTTGTAATTTTGTCTAATCTTTATTATCATTTTTGTGTAGTTATATCATAACATAACCTCTTTTTATGTTATGACATCAAAATGACTGCTTGAAACGGAGACTAATTTATGTTTTAGTACATATATTATAGGAATGTTAACATGTGTAGCAGTGTGTAGACACAGGAGAGCAATGGGCTTCCTCATTTGTTGGAAAGAGATAAAAGATGGTGGTATTGGGCTTAAATTTTTTCTTAAAACATTACCTCGTCCTCGCTTGTTTGCAAGAAAAAAGCTTTTCTAGCCGCACTGATAAATAAATACCTCTTGAAAATACCAATGAGAACTCGGCTTGTTTTTTTAAAAAAAAAACTTTATCTTTGTGAAAATCAAGTGTGTGTTATGTTTCTTCATGGATAGAAAATCAAGTAGGAGTTTTGTTGTGAAAATTGACTTTTTTTTGGTCTTGTTATTTATAACAATTTCAATCGCATTTAATATTTTTCTCCCACGCAAGATGCTACCATCCTCTGCAAAATCAAGCTAAAGTGGGATTTCATGATGCAAGAAGGGCGAATTGAAATGTGGATGTGGTGATGTATGCTATGTCTATGTTTCACGCACACCAGACAAGCCATGAAAGAAATTTGTGGGTGTCCTAATTCTAAGGAAACAATTAATTTGATTTATTTCATCGTCCTAAGTTATTCATTTAATTGGGGTTGCACTAAGCTTATTATGCACTAACCTTATTATGTAGGAAGAAGGGGGATGTGGTTTTTTCAAATGGGTTGACTATCAACAAGATATGAAAGAATCAAATGGGTTTATAGAGCAGAATAGATGATGACATTGATATAGATGGTTGTTGTT